GTGTTGGACTTGTTGCAAAAGCAATGGGTTTCAATGTTATTTCATTATTGTAAATTAAGGGGTTAGACGATGGACATCGTGGGATTGGGTGATGGGAAACGTGGGATTGGGTGATGGGAATCGTGGGATTGGACGATGGGAATCGTGGGATTGGGTGATGGGAATCGTGGGATTGGACGATGGGAATCGTGGGATTGGACGATGGGAATCGTGGGATTGGACGATGGGAATCGTGGGATTGGACGATGGGAATCGTGGGATTGGACGATGGGAATCGTGGGATTGGACGATGGGAATCGTGGGATTGGACGATGGGAATCGTGGGATTGGATGAGCAGTTAGAACAATGGGATGGTTTAAAAAATCAATAGGAAATAGTATTTTTACAATGATAAGACGGATGATAAAATAATGAAAATAATTAAGAAGCATTATGTAACTGAGTTAATAAGTTGAACTCATACTATAATAATAACATGTAAAATCTTATATGTTATAATTATATTGAACTTATGGTTTCTTTCTTTATTTTTCTTAATGCCTTAAAAATGACTTAAAGAAATAGTGCCTTAATATAATAAGAGGAAAATGAACGGTGATAAAATCAATAATTATATCACTAAAAAATGCTATGATTGTTGTCACTTCAAAAAAGAAAATATGGAATTGTATAAATTGAATTTACCTAATGAAATAGTGAATAATATTATTCATTATTCAATGGATGGTGAAGAAGACATATGTAAAAATTGTAAAAATTGGAGATATTATCAAGAATTAATCAAATGTCTGTTGGGAATAAAAAGAATAAATAATAGAAATGTAGAAGATGAGATTTTAATATTTCTAACTGTAAATAAAATACCACCTTATGATTATGTTAAACAGTTTCTTAAAATCAGTAAGAAAAATATGACATGATTTATGATATATTATGGATGTTGGGTTATAGTCAAGAGAAAGGGGAAGATGTTAAAGAAAATATCAAATTATTTATTGAAAGTAAAAAGTTTAATATTCAAAATACATTGAGAGATATTAATATTATTTTTACAATGATGTATGAAAGAAGTAAGACAAATCAATTAAATTATTATCCTGTACTGAAATTATAATCATACTATAATAATAACATGTAAAATCTTATATGTTATAATTATATTGAACTTATGGTTTGTAAAGATTGAAATATTTTATTTTCGTGTTTTTGAGTATGTCCTAAAACTGTATAAAGACTTAGAACTATACATTAATAAGAATAATGGAAAACCAAAGTGAAAGGCAGTGCTCCAAGTGTTGTAAAATGTTAGGAGTTGAAGAGTTTGAAGGTGAAAACAAAAACTGTAATAGGTGTTTAGAACACAGAAGAAAATGTTATGAAAAGCAGAAGGAAGAATATAGGGCGGAAGCGAATAGAAGGTGGAAGGAAGATGAAGAGTATAGAGGAAAGAAAATGGAAAGGAATAAACAGCGGAACAATAAAATGTATCTTTGTAGTGAGTGTGATTTGTCTGTGCATTTGAGAAATAAAGCAAGGCACGAGAAAACAAGTAAGCATCAAAGAAATTTAGTTTTGAAGAGTGAATAATTAAATGTGAAAGGTGGAACTATTAGGTGAAATGTGTTTTAGTCATATTTTTAAGTCTGAGTGAAAAATTCGCGAACAATGAATAAGGTAAAAAGAAAAAATGAAGAATAACTGGAGTTTCTGAGAATTGGAAAAAGACTTAAAATATAAAATGACTAAGGGTAAACAAATAGTAAAATGAAATAGGTTAAGTAGTGAAAAAATAATGAATAAGGTGTGCATCTTTCTAGGAATTACTTAGAATGAATAAGGTTGTGATTTATTAACCTTATCTATTATTTGATACTTGGTTTTTCAATGTGTTTTTTCATTGCTTGTTAGAAAAAATACAGATGATTTTCAGTTCCTTCAAATCCCATTTCTGTATTTTTTGGGGGGACCTGCGCCAGCTGCGTCGTGGCGCCATTGGGGCCGTCAAGGAGTTGAAGCAGAGATGGAAGCGAGTGAATGATCAGTTGAGGCAATTCCAGGCACCAGCCCTTCAAGCAGTGACAGCGCAAAGGGACATTGGCTTGCTGGGCCTGTTGGTGATATTGCTGGCGTGGCCCGACGTGTCATACCCCCATGGCCTGGTGGTGGGCCTGCCAGCAGTCGGCTTTGCCCCCCACTACGGCGTTTTCCCCCAGCAAGACGCGCGGGGGATTACCTTTGAGGAGGTCCTGGAGGGGGCGGGCGAGAACAATCGTCTCGTGCTAGCCAGTTTGCGTCCGGGCAAGGATGACACTTTCTTACTGGAGCAGTCGCAGAAGGACGCTGATCGTGGGTTTTGCACGGCCCCGATGTCCCTGTCCGAGCTGCAGCGGGAGCTCAAGGGGCAGGAGTTCCGACTCATACCCAGGTGTGTCATCACACAGTCCTCAGGCAAACAGCGAGTGATCGACAACGCAGATACAGGGGGACAGTCCCTCCGTTCATCGGACGCCAACAGATTAGTCCTCTGTTCGCCGCTGCGGCCAGCTCAGCACATTGCAGCGGTGATGCAACGCATGGATGAGCGCCAACTTCGCTCAGCCCGCGAGGGTGACTCGTGGGAATCCGGAGGGGAGGATTGGCCAGATGCCTATCGCCACTCTCCTATGAGCAGTGAGGAGGCAAGAGGCTGTATCGTTTGCTTTTGGCATGAAGGCTGGGGGGCGCCTGCATTTCAGCGGTACGCAGGGTTGCTCTGTGGCCTGCCGTTGGCCGTGACCAGTTTCAACCGGTACTCTCGGCTGGCAGAAGCGCTGGCCAGGCGACTGTTGGTCCTTCTGGTTTCGTTCTACTTCGACGACGCCCACATCACGGATTGGCGATCAGCCGGTGGCTCCGGCCAGTGGGCACTGGAAGAGCTGAACCGGCTGCTGGGCACGCCGTTCTCCAAGGACAAGAAGCAGCCTATGGCAGCCCAAGGCCTTTTTCTGGGGCTTGACCATGACCTGTCTCACGCACTGCACAACGGCGTGGTGTCCTTCTGGGCTCGGGAGCGGCTGCACGAGAAGATGTCCGGGATGATCCAGAAGGTCAGGACAGAGGAGAAGCTAGCACCTGGCCTCGCGGCTAAGATCTACGGCTTGGCTAACTTCTTGGAGATGGGAGTCTATGGCCGCGTGGGATGCGGAGGACTGGGCTCCATCAAGATGCGGCAGGCTGAAAGATCATCTGAGCTGACTGAGCCTATCAAGGCGAGCCTTGAGTTGCTAGAAGCAGTCTTTGCCACCCAACCACGGCGAGTGCTGCCAGTTTTCAGTGCCGTGTGAGAGGTTTGTGATCGCTTCCGATGCGGCTCTTGAGAGCCCACGTCAGGGGACGGGAGGTTTCCTGATGGTTAGGGCCGACGGCTTCACCGAGCGACGGGAAGCTTTTGTAGCAGACATCCCAATTGAGCTTTACGAGTTGTGGACTCCGGGGGACCGGAAGATTGCTCAACTGGAACTGTCCATGGTGTTGTACGCCCTTCTCTGCCGGCCGGATACATTCCCGTAATCGGCGGGAGTGTGGTACATCGACAACACCGCAGCCCTGATGTGCTTAATCCGTGTTAGGTCCAGAGAACCCGACCTGGAACGAATGTCCCACGTGATCCACACAATTTTGTATGGGCTGAAGGTCTGGATGTATTGGGAATGGATCCCTTCCAAGTCCAATTGGTCAGATGCGATTTCCCGTTTAGGATGGCAGGACCCATGGGCCCGCCAGAATGATTTCTCAATGTCTACTGCTTTCTGTTTCCCCATCATGTGGAAGCTGCCATTTCGCGCCGTGCTCGCGGTGACGAGCTTTCTGTAGTGCTTTGGGAGTTGATGAAGTGCATTGGGGAACTTTTAAGGATGTTAGAGGCATCCCAACCGGAGTTGACCGGTGGCCCCCTCTAAGCACAGTCCATGCAGGAGATGCATGGAGATCCAAAGCATTATCCCTCAGGCGATGAGGGTTGTTACAGGCACGGGCAGTGCAGACTATGAATGATGAGAAGGGAAAAAGAATTGGGGTGCGTTGCAGCCTAGCAGTAGGAACGATACGTGACACATTGATGTATGCCATGTTTAGAGCTTGGCAGGCATTGGGTGAACATGTATCATCAATTGTTATGGGTCTGCCATTTTGGATCAAGACTGAGCCAAATTGGCAGACACCTTTTTGGTTTCCCCACCCAACCCACCCTAGTTGTCTGGCCTGGCGTCCAGTGACCGACAACTTTGAAGGTCCCGATGGGACTGGGGTTTGCGCAAGGGCGCACTGTGCTGTTTCGAGGGTAGGGGAACTTTTAAGGATGTTAGAGGCATCCCAACCGGAGTTGACCGGTGGCCCCCTCTAAGCACAGTCCACGCAGGAGATGCATGGAGATCCAAAGCATTATCCCTCAGGTGATGAGGGTTGTGACAGGCACGGGCAGTGCAGACTATGAATGATGAGAAGGGAAAAAGAATTGGGGTGCGTTGCAGCCTAGCAGTAGGAACGATACGTGACACATTGATGTATATATATATATAAATACACACACGCATGCACCCCATAAGAACCCCCCATTTGCAGGCTGAAAAGCTTGAGTTCCATGAAATCGAGGCCCCTTTCAAGTGGAAACCATAATACGCAAACCAGTGGAAAGACAACCCACTGCTTTCACAACCAATATGACATCTACAAGTAGCCACCAGTGCCGTCAAGAGTCGTGTAATATTGGCACATTCCCGTGTACTCCTTGTTCTTTGATGGTTGAAGCTTTTGATGGACATTGGACATCATTCACATGGGGATGTCCCTTAGCCACATTTGAGTGGGTTTTGTTTTCTTTCAAAACTAATGAAATCGGTGGCATCCACCCAAAAAAGGGAACCACGCACCCCCTATCACACGGCACGTCCAGAGGATGAGTTTGCTTTTGGCTTCCTTTCAGACACATCTAGCCAGGGGGGGGGTTCTCATCTCTGACCAGATGCTGCCCAAGCGCACGTCGAAGCTGCAGAGTGGCAGCGCGGGCGCCCAACACCTTGTTTTTTGTTGCTGTCCGGGTAGGTCGTTGTACTGCCTGGCTTTATGAGGGTTGTAAGGCTTTTAGATTTATCTACCAGGTTAGCAGAACCGAAAGTCAACGGAACTTGGTTGACACCCTGCAACACGAGTGGACCAAAGGAAGAACATTGTTCAAACAGTCTCTTTTTTTCTCCTTCAAACGGGATGGGCCTGGCTTAAACAAATCTTGCCCAACCCTGCTATACACTTTTCTTCTCCTCGTGGTTTATCTATGGATTCCCCCGAGTTTCTCAGGACACATGTTTCTGTGTTTGGATTTGTTTAAGAGGTGTGAACACTTTCTTGTCTTTTTTATCCAGCCCTTGTATAGTCCCGTAGTAGTGGGCCAAGAAACTTGGCACCTTGGCACCTGCAGACACATAGCTTGCCTGCCAATGAACTCGCTTGGTTTGCCAATCAATTAACCTGGTTTGTTTGGCCAGTTGCCCGTTTTCAATTTCAAATGGTTGAAAGTACCTGCCGGGGTCAAACAGGAAAGGCAACATTTCCAGTAGAATTCCCTTGGACCATGACATTCCATGCCCAAATTTTGGAGCGTATAGGCCATGCCTTGGCGCGAGCCTCACGAGGCTTGGAGGTACCGCGGCCCGCCCAGGGGCCCAGGGAAGCGCCAGAGTTCGAAATTCGCGGGCTCCCCGGGAACGGGGGGGGAGGTTCGAGCCCCACTTAGCTTCATTGCAAATTCCCAAAACAGTTGATTCCCTACAGACCAATAAGTCAACCCCAGTTGCTCCAAGCCCTCATGTTGGATTGGCTTCTTTTGGCTTCCTTTTACGGGCCAAACTCCTACCCATTGCCCAAAGATAGACCATGAAATATGCGAGCCATCATAGTCAGTGTTAGTCAGTTCCGCTCTGGGAGCCAGGATGGGCTGAGTGCTTTTCTTGGAGAGCTTTGCCGAGGGGGGGTCCTTAAACAGCGGACCCCTTTGAGCTGGTTTTTTGAATGGAAGGCAATGGATTTTGGGGTGGCCGAGTTTAGAACACAACGGCGTGTTGGATGTGCAGCGGCATCCCGCTTCCCTTTTGTTTGGGTTCCCCACCAAAACTGGAACCGAGCTTGTCAAGGGTCCGCTTTGTCTATATACTGTTCGAGTCGCTGGTTGTAACTGGGTTATTGATGTCGCCCTGCCTCAGCTTCCATGAGACAGTAGGAACTACTCAGTAGAAAGGTTTCAGAATCCTAAGAAGGTTCGAAGATCCTTGTCTGGGGTTGGGGCGGCTTTGTTTTGCTCCCTACAGTATTGCTAACAGCGGACAGCATTTCTGGTCTGCTGTCCACTTGCAATGGCAAAGTCTCCAAAGCCCACATGGATTCCCTGGATGGTTTTCTGGTTTCAAAGTTCAGCCCAAAAATGTGGCCGCCTCCAAAGGACAAACACCAAATCGGCTGCTTTGGATCGAGGACGCCTTATGCTTCAAAGCTTTGGGCAGCTGGTTCGGATCATGCTCCCCTCGAAGCAGAAGCCGGGGTTCCCATGAAAATGGGTGTGTGTGTTTCTTTGAAGGTACCCTGGCTGGGTGAGTTTGAAGGGAAGCCAAAAGGCAACCAGGGTCCAAGTCCCTATTTCGAGCCATACCCAACTTGTATACGGCGTACTCCGGACGTAGTGCGAAGGGAATAGCTAAGCCAGCTCGTTTTTTTCTTGGGACCCACCTCAATCATGTCTCGCTCAGGGCAGCGCCGAGAGTGATAGGCGTGGAAACGGGCTCGGGTGCAATGCATGACATGGCAGGAAGGATGGCGGATCCAGGGTCCGTATTGTTCAATATCGCATTTTTCAAAGCTCGCATGAACTCACCTATAGTCAGCTTTCACAAATGCCGTTGTCATTTGCAGTGCGATACTTTTTGTGTGGTTGGCATACGATGAGTCTCTGAAGGAAAAGGACTAGCTATGAAGACCCATCATTCCTGCCACACCGCCGAATGTTTGAGGCTGGGTACCCTGAACGCAGCTTCTTGTCAAGACGGCGAGCACCATTTTGGCTAGGGTTCAAATCCTCTTTTGAGACACATTGCAGGGTGCGATTTCCTGTTTGAAGCGTCCGCATCTCTTTGCCTCTCTCTGCCAGCCCCATCCACAACGCGGAGAGTGTTTCCTCAAGACAGGCCCGGCACGATTTTTCGATGGATGCTCGGTTTTCAGACGCAGAATGTGAGGCTGGGTGCCCTTCAAGGGTTGTTTTGAAGGGAGAGTATAGGCGGCGCAAACGTAACTTGGCATTGGTGGGTGGGGATGAATAAGGAGGACTATTCGCTTGGCTGGCGAGTATCCATCAGCAAATTATCGTGTAAGGCTTTTCAGAACTGATCTTATGCACCACATTTTCGGGATCATTCAGGGACCCCTCTTGTGGATCACACATTCCATGGCCCTTTTCGGTCTCGCCCTAAAATTAAGTTGGACGCTCCGCTCTTTAACGCACGGATCTGTTGGAAAAAGCGGTTTCAGTGTGGAGACTTGAGCTTGCTTCTTAGACTCAGGACGATTCATTGGCGAACTTCCCGCAAGAGCCACCAAAGCCAAGTTTTGTGCCCTTTTTGTTGGGTGCAGCATGAGATGCTCGGATCTTCTGTTACCTTTTCTGCTAGCCTCAGGGGAATCTCACTTCTGATTTGAGGCGATGCTGTTGGTGCGCAATTTCAATTTTCGGGCGGACCCGCTCAAGCTTGCATCTACGGATAGCACGTGTGATTGCGCAGCTGATGACTCGAGCGTGAACTTGTTGCTCCAGTTTTTGCAGTAAGATGTCAAAACCAGGTTGGTCAGGAATGACAGCAGTCTCTTTCCAAGGTCCCCACCAACCAGCATGGTGTGTGCGACCAAAACCCAATCCTGGGTGTTTCCCTTCAGGGGTTTTCCTTCATGGGCACCCCTTCACGGGCTCTCCGATCATTTTCGGTTGGTGAGTTGTGACTCATTCCGAATGGAATCTCAACTACGGTTTGGGCTGCCAAGAACAAACTTGCTGTTACTTTGGCTAGCCGATTTGGGGGATGGTTTGGCGTATCCCTGGAATCGCATTCCGCTTTCTGTGGCAGGCGGTGGATCGGCAAGCAAGCCATGGCCTTGAAATGTGCTATATGCTACATATGGTAAACCCCCCAAAACTTCTTGCGGATTCATTCGGGTTTATGTAGTATTTTTGCAATGGTCTAGTGAATATGTATCTATATATATATACACATACATACATACGTTTGAATGTTTGAGGGTGTCGTTTTCGGGTGGTATTAAACGGAAGCAACATGAAACTGCAACCAGAACACTCTCCTGCAGAGGGAATCCCCAGAGCCCATCCATCGGAGTCTGTATCCATTTTGGAAGTCTCAATGTGGGAGACCTCCCCCCCAATGCTTGAGGCTAGGCCCCTCTTTTTTGGATATTGGGTTTGAGCAAGCCCCTCCAAAACGGGGGAGTTGCCTGAGCAACCTAAAAAGCGTACCCTCAACAGACACGCCAGATGAAGGTCCAATCCTAGAATTGTCGTGGCTCAATGGTGCTTGTGTTGTATTCCAATTAACTCTTCTATTTGGATCTGCTTTGTCATAATCAATTTCTTCAGACTGATATAATAATAGATAAACTTGTTTTTGTAATGTTTCTCTACCAGAGGACAATGCGGTGCCTGCCATAAGCAAAGAGGCAGAAGTAGTTGAGACTGCCTGCGTGGTAGCAGTTCTCAAAGAGGAGTCTCCACTACCCCCAAACCACTACCCCCCGGGACAAAACACTATCAACTTTGCACATATCCTTTACATGTCCATTTTGTAAGGTCCACGCTTTCCATCAATTTTTGGACGTTTACGGAGCCCCTGATGATCAAAGCGTTGGGCTACCAGAGAATCTCTGCAAGAAAGCAGCACACACACACACACACACCAGGCGATTGGATTCCGGCCCTCGGTTCCGTTTTGAAAGCCAATTCCTCGAAGACGTGTCACCCGCCTTAGCGTGGAACCACAAGTTTGCTTGTGGAATACCAAAGAGAGACTCATTTTGTGGGTTCACTCAGAGACAAAACCACTTGGATGCTTGCTAAGGACGAAAGGAGCCAAAAAAAGGGGGATGGCCATTCAACAGAACCCTGGGTGACCTGGGTGGCAAATAATTTCTTGCAACTCCATGTAGGGTGGCATGGTGTTCAAAGCCACTCTGGTTGAAACCTGCTGTTGGCTTCCCGTCCCGGGTGGGGGGGGGGGAAGGCAATTGCTCAATATTGCAACTAACATGGATGCCCCAATTTTAGGGTATTCCAAGATTAGGACTTGTTTGGTTGTGCTTGCTGGCTGAGGGATGTTTTAATGGGAAGCTAAAGGGAACTACTCCGCTCCCCCCGGGTTGGACCCAACCACTTGTTTATACTTGTTTATTCCTTTGCGTTGCTTTTCACATCCTCACTTGCGTTCCCTTTACAGCAGTCAGCCTGGTAGTTCAAACCAAGTTTGTTCAATGCTTCCCACATTTGCAAGCCACCCGACTCGGATCTGGCATGGTGATGGCCTGTATGGTAGAAATACCGGCTGGCTAGGGCTCCCTGCCCGCCCCGCCCGCCCAAAGTTTCAAGTTTTGCTGGTTAGTGGCAACTATAATATTTGGTTGTCTCAACAGTTTTGGGGACAAATGGGGTTGGTCTCTATTTCGGTGTTCCTTCAAAATTACAACGACAAACACCCTGGGACTTGGACTACAGGGCGATTCGGCCGCTGGTGCCATGTTGAAGTTCTTTTGGGAGCAGGATTTACCTGCTGTGGTTTGGACTAACGGTGGCCCGTTTCGGAATGTCATCCAGCGGCCAAATCAATCCGCACACATTCCGGGCCGACCCCAGGCCAGCGGACTCGTGGAGGTTTACACATATTCTGTCAATGCTGGCGAGCGTGCACGCTTTTCTGTTGTTTACAACACCATGCCCCCGCCCAAAACAAAAAACAAAAAGCAAAAAGGGTTTTCCTCAAGACACTTGCAGTGATTCGCATCTTCGGTGTCGATTTTCCCTGAGGCAAGGCTGCGTCGCACTCCAAGGGCCCCAGCTTCGTCTTGGACGAAGGTCGGGCAATTAGAAAACTGGATGAGTTCAGCCGGGAATTCGCTTGAGGCGCAAAGGAACACATGTTCTTCTTTTCTGTTTGGGGGGGGTGCCGATTTGTGGAGAGCCTTGGGTAGGAATTGCCGTCCAAGGCGCCAGGCCAGGTCGCGCCACACGAAGCGCCGCAGAAACGTGGCATTTGCGCACGACCAGGGGTCAGAGTTGGAACACCCGGAGTTGGCCTCACGTGAACTGGTCGCCCGTTTGGGGGATACATGGCTACGATTTCCAATGAGGAATACCTAAATGGTTGCTGAACACTAATCTCCAAACTGGGGAGACAACCCCTTTCGGACCCGACAAAGGCGACATGCTGCGCCAGCTTCACAGAGGGTCTATATAGACCCAAAACGGGGGTCACCACGTGGGTGTTTGGTCCAAAGGCCCAAAAGCATTTCAAGAGCCATGCAAGATGTTCACTTGCTGGACACCAACCCTTCAATCCCTCTAAAAGGTCGGACATCCGCAATCCTTCATCTGGGCATGAATGTCAACTGGGGACCCTTTGGAGGACATCAGAAATACCTGCGAAGTATCAAACCATCCATTTTCAGGGGAAGTGTGAATTCTGTACGGAAGGTGTCCAACTCTGAAAAGAGGACCCCAGAATATTTGCCCAACTAACCATCTTCGAGGGAAAGTTGCTCTCGACAAGCATATCCATCTAGCCAAGTCGGTTGCGCAGACAAGAATGTGTAGTCAAAACTAGTGCCCCCAAAGACTGGGCCACCCGGGGACCCCAATCCACCATCGATTTACCGAACTCGCTAATTGCAGGGGTGTCCCATTTTGACGGGGGACGCCTATTTGGGACAACATGACTTCAAAGCTTTGAGACTGTAAAAGTTGCGGGTTTGGCAACCCGTCTTGGGTTTCTTTATGGATCGTGGTTTCGAAAGGAAGCCACCTTCTGAAACTAGTTGAACAAGTGGGAGGGCCTTTCAAGACGCAGCCATTCATTTCACACCACAGAAAACTTGTGCTGATGACAAGCCTTTTTGAGTAATTCGGACCTGTATGGGCACCATTTGTCATGCTCGTGTTGGGGAGGAGGTTTGGGCTTTGCTGAGCCCAGAATTGGGGAACCCCTGAACGTGGTTGGTGTTCCATTGGTTTTCCTTGCAACCCAACCAAAAATAGTTCCCCTCAAACAATGTCACGGGTATATACTGCATGCTTTTTGTTGTTGGTGCACTTCTTGGGGCCGGGGAACACCACTTAAAACGACGGACCCGTGCTTCCTCAGTCCATATTTAACCCTCCATGGGCTCCGCGCCCAAACAGGTGACGAGCCACGGTCGGCGGGCGGCCCAAGAGCTGAGGGGCAAAGGATGCGGTGGGTAGGTGAAGGCATCAGGGGTTCCAGCTGTGTATGTGACAAAATAAGGCATCCCAAAAATCGTTGACTCTTTTGTTTGATTTCCCTTTGAAACGTTTGGGGTTTGGGACATGTGACACTTTTGCACAAACCACAAACACCAGGGGCCGGATCCCGAATTTCCCTGCTGAGGGCCGTGCCCCCCATGTACTGACGGCTTTTGAGGTCTCTTGGGAAAAGCCTGTTGGGGCAGATTTGCGCCGCGCCTTTGGAGCAATTGAGGTCAGTCCCACCAGCGACACTGACAGGCGAGATGTTGTGCGATGTTGGGGGGGACTTGGGGGTCTGCTTGCATTAGGAGCCCCTCAGATATCCCGCAGGTGCTGAATCCTGGAAGGGCTCTTGCGTTGCGTTCCCAAAACTTCTCTTTCCCCGGAGCTCATGAACTGGATGTCGGTGCGCGTTCTTTGTCCGCCAGGGCATGCCACTAAGAACAACCAAACCGAACCGGAGAGCAAAGAGCAAAGCGATGCTCTTCGGCGTGGTTGTTGACACGGCTACGAATTGCAATAGGGAGCCCCTCCAAATGGTTAGCGGACGCAAGCCCCCACCGAAATGATGTCCACCAAGCAAGTTTCGCATGAACATTCATGGTCACATGGCTTGACTCCGACCCACAAGCGTCAAGCTGGTGGGAACATATCCAACGAGGAACCTAGAATGAACACTCGAATTGGTGGGGACACCATGTGGTCGACTCGGAAAGCGCAGGGGTGCAATGGCGCAATCCGCCAGGCTAGAACCATTTGGATCTCAGAGGAACAGCGCGCTGTTGGCCCCTGTTCGCACTGCGAGAGGGTCCCTGAATTGAAGACCTTTCTTTATGTCGGCTTTAATATCAGGAAACTCACACTGTGAACATGGCAACGCAAATGGCAACTTTCTCATTTGAACCCTAATGCAAGCGTGGGTATTGAAGGAAACTAGGGGGACAGCCCCCAGCATAAATCGGCACGGCTTCTTTGCGCATGATTCCTTTCCGGTTTTGTGTAGAGCCCTTCAATACCAGGTTTCGATTGTGACTCTGCTAGCCAATCACTTTGATCGGGGGGGTTCGCCTGTAGTTGGAGGCCAAGCCCTTTGGACCGTACCAAGTTAGTCTTAGGTCGGCTCCTTATGCCTCAAGCAAATCGCAGATGGTGTGCCATGGTCAACCTCCTTTTCAGTTCGGGGAATAGACCGCAAGGCCTGAATCCTTAAGGAGCCTTCAGAGTTACCCCACGTGCTGGCTGACACTCCTGTCCATTCTAAGTTTTCATGAGCTGCGGAGGACCGCTGAGTCGCCTCGACAGGACGCCCGACATCCGCCCTTTTGCATGCGCTCAGAGCACGTCTCAGGGAATTTGCTTGGGGTGGTTTCCTTAACCATCCTTCTAGTCATCCTTTGAAACCTATGGGTTCTGCTTGGCAGCTTTGAGCCTCAAAATCATCCAAGCAAGCAAGTATGCTTTTGCTGCCATTGTTGAATTTGGCGCTGTTGTGACCTGGGGTCATGCAGAACTCGGGGGAAACAGCAGCCAGGTGAGTAATTGAGCTTGTATGTCGGGTGAAGGGAATCATTTGTTCCCTTCTTGGACACTTCGTACATTTCCGTTTGAGAAAGACTCTTGTGAGCCAGGGTCTGCGACTGGTTGGGAGGGTCTGAGGGAAAAGCTAGGGAAAAAGGTAAACCAGCTGTGACTGTGGTGCTCAAGATTCGCCTATTTCAACCCGCAGCCCCTCCCTGCAACCCACTATAGTTGAAGTGGCTTAAGGTGGCTTAGACCAACGCTGGCCAAACCAGTGGCCAGAGCCCTCAGAACATCCGTCGACGCCCTTCCAAACATGTTGCCCGACACCTGCAATTGTGCAGGGCACTCAGATCCCGTCAGGACAGGTCTTCCCGCCCGAGGTTCACCAGCGAGGCTCTCGTTTTTTCTGCTTTGTGGGTGCCATGGGCTTTGCTTTAAAATAGGCGGACCAAAGGGTACTGAAGAAAGCACCTGCTCGTACTTGGAGCTTTTGCAGCTCACAGGCTCACAGGGATCCTTCTATTTCCTTGGTCTCATCAGCTTCTGGGGTTCAAAGGTTCCCTTTGGCCGGTCGATCGAAGGGGATCCGAAACAAATCAATACCCTGAACATCGGTCGTGTATTAACCTGCATGTGTCCACCATACCGGAGGTTTCTGGAAGGATGAGCAGTTCCACCGAGTCGAGGGTAAAACGAGCTCGGGCATGGTGAAGGTACGCCCTTTGCAGGTTTCATTTTGACTACCCTTCAACACATCCATTAGGTTGTGAACAATTTGGGAGGATTGAGGTGATTGGTTTTCTCTTAGTTTCCCTCTAGACTTATGCATTCTGGTTTCCTGCTTTGTTGTTGGAGTGCCATCCACAAAGTGTCAAAACGAGCGAGTCCGTTCCAGGTGCGTGCCGTGAGCCATTCGAGCCGCAACCTGAGAGTTCAGCAAAGGAGTCGTCTCACAGCCCCTCACAGCCCCTGTTGTCAATGCGTAGTGAAAAAGAACCTGCCGCAAACAACGATGCCCCAGTTCAAAAGTTTGGGGCTTCCCTGGCAGGTCTTTTGGGATCGGACTTTGCCTCTCCAAACAGTTTGGCAGTTCTGACCATGCGTTGTTGCTAGCAGAACCCAAGGTGAATGGGTTTCAAAAGGCCTGGGGTGTTTGCCTATTGACCCTCTTGCAGAAACATGGTAAAATACAAGAGCCGCCTTGAAGAGGGCTTCCACACTTCAAGGCGGCCCTTCTATTTTGCCAAGAGAAAGGCAAACCGTGCTTGGGCCTCTTGCACTTCGACCTGAGGTACCTATGAATCCGTAGCAACAGGCGGGCCGGCCTGAAAGGTTGTGGCTTGCGCCAGAACTCTTGCATGAAAAAGTTTCCTTTCAAAGGGAATCTTCATTTTGGGTGTGTGACGCAGAACACATCAACCTGAAAGATCCCATGCGTCCCCCTCTTTCGTTTCCCCTTCTCGGTCGGTAAGTTGTAATTTTTCCCGAGCATTCTCTGGGTGGGAAACCCGAAACTGGCTCCCACGAAACGGTACTTGTTCCTACCCACCGGGGCCCCGGGCGCATCCTTCAGGCCACTCGACCGGCTCAAAAAAAAACTGCATCGTCAGAGTTGGCTTCGCAGCTTCAATTTTGCTGTTCATGATTCATGATGGTTCATGGCCGTTCTCACCTATATGCTAGAGTGATGCAGGCTGGTATTATGCAAAGGAGCAGCCTTTGAGCTCACAATTGCATGCGGCACCAAAGCCTGCCAGTTGTGGCTATGGCAAATGGCACGTAAGGTGGCTGATGCCGTTTCTGGATTCTAAATAGACCACAACACTTACACCCAAACGGAAACCAAGAGGGGATGGGCCATTTTGTTGTTTTTCCAGACTTTCTAAGTAGTACCCCGCTTTGGCTCTACTCAGAGCCTGCCGTGACGCATCTAGTGCATTCCCTGTGGCAGGCATCAGCACTATTGTCGGTCGTCCCCGATTTTTGGGTTTCTGGGTCAAACCGATGTCTGAGCAGGTGATTGAATCATGCGATGACAATTACTTGGCAGTCTGGGGGTCGATTCCCCAATCGTCTCAAGTTTCAACCCTTATCCTCTTCTCTTCCCATTGTTGCTTTCGGGAAGGAAGGATCCCCAAGTTCAGAACGGGGAAGGTACTATTTGAAGGATGGGTCGCCCATCCGTCAGGCCCCTTGCTCGAGAAGAGTAGGAGCTCGCGGCGGTGCCAGACTCGCTCCTTCGACGTGGACTGGTGACTTTGTCCTCTTTTTTTTCTTTTTCGCCGGGGACAGGTGGGAGGCGCAGGGTGCTGCTAGGGCCCCAAGAAGGGCACTTTGTCCCAAAAAAGGCGGCAAAAGGACAAGTCTGCGCCCGAGTCACTGCGTGGTTGGCATTTAAGACATCCACTGTGAGGGCTCCTCTAACAAAAACCCATAGCCATGACCTGAAGAGTGAGTCTTGACCATGACTCATGTTTCCTTTTATCGTTAAGTTGGTAGAACCCACAAGTGTAAGAAGTTGGAGCCTAGCTTACTTGTGCTACCCAACAAAGGAAACCGCGGCCTTGAACTTTGTCCGGTTGGCATAGGCTCACGTGTGGATAGTTGGTCCGTTTGGCGTCATTTTGGCTTTCAACGTGCATGTATGCCACCAGACTTGTGCTGAAATCCAACACTGGGACCCTGTTTGAGTGCCCCCGCTTCCTGTTGATCTTTTTTTTCTGGAAGGGTCCAGAGCAACCTCCCAAGCGGAAGGCCTTCCACGATCAATGGAATGTCATTCACACTTGTGAAGCCGCGTTTTGTTGCAACACTTTGATGAGTCACCAAGAGTTGGTGTTTTGTCCGATTTGCTTCATTGAGGTCACCCTTTGGTCATCCCAGTTCGATCAAGGTCAAGTCATGGCTAGAGGTCAACTCTGAATGTTCAAGTCATTTCATTTGTGAACAGCTTATCGTACCCGGGGACTCACGACTGACTTCCGAACTCTGTCGACAGCCAATCTGAAAAATCGTCACTTCAGCTTGCAGTCCAAACGGGAAAGGTGTTCATCACAGATATATATATATATATAGATGTAAATATATGTGGTACCCTCCCGGACCTACCTTTTTGATAAGTCAATGGTATTTGCAGTGTTTGTTGCCTAATTTGCAGCTTCGGAGAAAGCAGGAACAAAAAGGTGTATTTTCAAGGACATGCTGGAAGCTTCAGGCACCATTCAAATGTCAACCGGTTTCCATCGAGGCCCAGATTTACATTTCAATATGTTTTTGAATCTTCTACATCTAGGCCCAGATTCAAGATTCAAGATTCAACTCCAGGCCAAACTTTCCAGATGTAAATTTCAATCGCTTTCAATCTGTTTTATTTAGGCCCGGATTCAAGATTCACGATTCCAGGCCAAACTTTTTCGGAGAATCTTGAATCCAAGCCCAGATTTAAATTTCAATCTCTTTCCATCCTTTTAAATCTAGGCCCAGATTCAAGATTCAAGATTCCAGGGCAAACTTTTCCAGGCACAGTCTTGAATCTTGAATCCAAGCCCAGATTTAAAAGTCAATCTCTTTCAGTCTTCTTAAAATTAGACCCAGATTCAAGATTACAAGCCATCTTTTCCAGGGACTCTTGAATCTTGAATCTTGAATCCACGCCCAGATTCAAAATTCAAACTCTGCCAATCTTTCTCAATCTTGACCCAGATTCAAGATTACAAGCCAAACTTTTCCAGGGAATCTTGAATCTTGGATCTTGAATCCAGAACTTTTCTAGGTGCTCTTGAATGTTGAATCCAGGCTCGACTGAATCTTCAGTCGGGGCCTGGACTCGAGTCTGCAGAGAAGACTTTCTAGGGAATTTTGAACCTGGCATCTGAAGTACAGGCTTGGATTCGTAGAATCAATTCTTTGATTATCAAATTCTGTTTATCCTTCAATTGACTTGTAAAGCTCTACCGGGAAAGGAATTGTATCCAAATTCCAAACTTTGGATTGAGTCCCAATTAAATCCTATTCAGAACAAATCAAAATTTAGAGACGGTCATTGGTGTGAATTAAGTATGGACGACGCTGCAGAACACTGTGTTTTGCGGTATTTTATGACCGCCTGGTAGTGCAAGGACTAGTGAAAAAACAATTTGGAACCTCTGAACTCTTCCCGAATGAAAACCGCCAATCACAATTCGTACTTTTGAGTTGACTTTAAATAATGATTGTTAGATTTCAGCTTGATGTTACACAGTTTATCCATTTAACCGCATACTATTCAACAATTTTGGGACCTCTGGATGTTGTCCTTATGAGTTATACTCATTTAATTATCAAGTTCTACATAACTTCCAACTAGAATTCAATAGAATAAGGACATACTCCAATCTGAATTCTATCTTAGATTGGAATTCCAATATTGACTATTCTATTTCAGCTCAAATTGTGCACAGGATGTTTTTTCCAATAGAATGTTCTACTTGAAATTCAATTCCTATGAGAGTTAGACCTAAATAGTGTAGTCCTAGTTTGGTCCTAGTCCTAGTTGAGAGACCCTTGGTTCTAGTCCTAGTCTAGGTTGTCCCAGTTTACCGAAATAATTACTAGTTATTTCGGTATTAGAAAGTGTAAAGGACATTACAAAGGAAGTTCCTTGTGAATTCTTCTTAGTATATTTGTCAAGTTGTATTTAATTTCTAAACTGAAGTTAAATATGATTTCGAATAAGGACATACTCCAGTTAGAATTTCTAGCTTAAATAGGAATTAAATATTGACTATTCTATTTCAAGTCAAATGGTACACAGGATGTTCTTTTTAATATAATGTTCTACTTGCAATTCATTAGAGTGAAATAGTCTAGTCCTAGTTTGGTCCTAGTCCTAGTTGAGAGATCCTTGGTTCTAGTCCTATTTGGTCCTAGTCCTTGTTGAGAGACCCTTCTTTCCAGGCCTAGATTGGCAAATCATGCACTGGAGAGGCTTAGAAAAGGTAGGCTTCTGGGGGCGGGGGGTAGAATATATATATATATATATATACACATGTATATTTATATATGTATACGCATATGATCCCGGTCCGGGGCCCGGTACCCCCTCCCCCCCCCACTCCCCCTGCCCCCCCCCATGTCATAAGATGCCCCGACAACATTCAAGCAGCCCTAGACCCTGACTGAAAGGGCAGCATTCGTCCCATGGCCAACAACCCACACTCAAGCAACCCCACATTCACAGGGGAGTGGGGGGGTGGGGGGGCGGGGCTGTAGGCCTGGAACATATAATATAGACATCTATCCTCACGTTGGGGACTCCTTTCTTGAATGGTTCCAAAGGCACAGGATATCGACCACCTGGAGGGGGCTCTAAATGTGGGACACATTCCCAAACGGAGTCTCCTTGAGCACAGGTTTATTGGGTCCCAACTCGAATCTCATTCAGGGCGGCCTTGGTCATGCCTCCTGTTTGAGATTGGGACTGTGGTAGTGCACTTTTTTTGTGATTTTGGGGTTTGATATCTTGAGCAAGTTGTACGATTGCTTTTGCTGAAGAGTGTTTGTAACTGTGATTTACAAGCCAGAGTAGCTGCAATTATGTTAGCATATTGCTTTCATTCCTGTTTGGCATTAGAGTTGAATTTGAGTTCAAATAGATTCCAGTATGGAAACACACGTTTGTTGTTTCTGCTAATTTGCCTGCCCCTTAAAAGGAGTGAAACAACAATAGAACCGCAAGGAACATGCAATTTCAGTTCTAATGGTTTACAAGCTTTAATTTGCCACGCTTTAGGTTTAAAACATATTTCAATTAGAATTCAATATAAAATATTGTTTTGAATTAGAATTAACATAGGGGTTCCTTTCCAAGTAGGATTTTACTTGGGATTTAAATAGAATATAATAAGTAGAAACAAGCTTGTTGTTTCTTCTAATTTGCAAGCCCCTCAGAAGGAGTGAAAAACCGGTGAACACCCATGGAAAATACACATTTTATTCCACTTGGTTTGCAAGTTTTAAATTGCAAGGCTTTAAGTTTAAACGGGATTTCGATTAGAATTCCCTTCAAAGGTTCATTTGATTTAGACTTTAAATAGTACTTCCAATCCAAATAGGATTTCAAATAGACTTTAATTAGAAATAGGAACTTATACTTGCACATATGAATTCAATTAGAGTTGAACTAGAATTCATATGTTGAATTATAATTTAAACAGAAATTCCTTCCAAGTCTAAATAGAAACTCCTGTCCACAACTTAATTGGAATTTAAACATACTTTAACTAGAATCTAGTAAGGAAAGACAAGCTGATTATTTCTTCTGAGTAATTCAATTACATGTTTTTGAATCATGCTTGACATAGGAATTAACTTTTAAGTATCTAGGCTTTTGATTAGACTTTAATTATAATTTTAATAGAATCTGGTAAGGATAGACAAGCTGGGTTTTTCTTCTAGTTAGTTTAAATAGACTTCTTACACTTATTTGGATGTTTAAAAGAGGAATTAATTAGAGTTCTTATGGTGAAGTTGATTTGAAATAGGACTCATGACATGAGAAATCGTCTGCGCTGCTTACGAGAGAAGTGTAGCTGAATAAACCATACACAACAGCCAAGAACAGAGGAGGACCCATCATATACATAGAATAGTCCAAAAACACTCAAGAAAAACAAAAAAAACAATAACAAATGACAAAACTCGAGGAAAACAAAAAAACTCGCGAAAACCAAACAAAAGCAAAAAGACCTCGAGAACACCAAAACAAATAAAAAAAAACAAACAAACAAACAAAAACCATGGTTTAGAAACTCTTTGTAACACAACCCATGTTGAAAGAGTTTCTAAACCATGTTTTTTTGGTTTTCTCGAGTTTCTTTGTTCTTTTGATTTTCTCGTTTTTTGTTTTGTGTGTTTTTTTTTGTGTTCCTCGAGTTTTTGTTTTTTCTTGTTTTTTCAAGATGTTTCCTCTGCACGTGTTAGATCAAGTGCAACTGACATTGCTGACCCATGAGAAGACTGCGAGCCTCAAAACGCGCAAAAAGCGCACTACCAGGGTCCCCTGTTCTGTCCTGTTTTGGGTTGGGGGGCATCTTCTATGGTTCTTGCAGTGGGTTCTGCAACAGAACTCAAATGCTTTCTGGAAATCTGCGGCAGGACAACGAGTATGAGACGGCCGAGGCAGACCGAACGACAAGCACTGGCAGTCGATGCTTGGAATCTTCTTCGGGGGCTCCAGTTTCATCGAAACAAGGGGGCTCCCTGTCTCTTTGATCGTCACACAAGCTGGGCGCCAATGCAAGTGGTGATTTTCATGTTGGTTGCCTCTTCAAACGACTCATGGCGTTTGCTTTGTCACACTTGCGCGTTTCAGAAGAAGGATGCACTTCAACCAAAAAGGAGTCCACGTAGTGTTGGGTTTCCTCCCAGGAGTCCCCGACCCCGCTTAGGGACACGCAAATGATCTCCTTTGAGCATCTTGAGCCTTTGGATTGTCGAAATGATGCAACGGCTCCCTTTGATGAAGCAAACTAGCTGCGCTAGCCATCGGCCACTCCCAGGCGGCGCAGCAGGTTTTCGACCGTGTCAGGGAGCACAACGAGGCGTTGCCGGGTATGGGGTCGGGTCCCTGCAGTCTTCCCTTCTCTTTCCCTCCCTCCCTCCCTCCCTCCCTCCCTCCCTCCCTCCCTCCCTCCCTCCCTCCCTCCCTCCCTCGCTCGCTCGCTCGCTCGCTCGCTCGCTCTCTCTGTCTCTTCTCTCTGTTCTCTTTGTTCTCTCTCTTCTCTATCTTCTCTCTTTTCTCTCCTCTCTCTCTCTCTCTCCCTTTCTTTCGTAGGGGCACGCGAGGAAGGACAAGTGCAATGCAAACAGGTGTCGTGCACGAGATTGCTCATTTCACAAGATTTGCGGTGGTTGCCATCAGTTTGACAGTTGTTTTTTCATGTTGTGCACTGGGTGTCTCGCCAGCTGCAGGAATCTCTGGTTTTGGCCAAGCCTTTGAGCTCTAACCGTTTAAAACCCATAGAGGGGGTCCAGCACAAAGGTCTCCGCAAAGATGTGCCACAACTCTGGCCTTACCGGGGCTTGCTAGGAAAGCTTTCGCCAGGGTCTCAGGGGCTAACTTCCAAATATCCAGGAGCTTCTTTTTTTCACTCCTTGATGAATGGCCGGCGGAAGAGTAACGTTCAGGGCAGCAAGCCGTGTATCTTCGAACGCCCCGGTAGAAAACCGACCATTTTAGTGGTGACTCCTAATGAATGGCGTTAAAACCCGGTGGCTTGCACAGCCAGTTTGGGTTTAAAGAACTGGCAGATTGATACCAGTCTTTGGGTTTGTCGGCGATACTGCCGCTCTTGGTGCTCATGGCCAAGCGCCCCGTTCGGTTCCGTTTGGGGCGCCGTTTGGGTCGAGGTGCACCGCTCGGAGCTGGCGAGGGCTTTGGAGCTGCTGGGCTTCGTGTGCCCGCGCCAAGTCTGGGCGGAGCCCTCGGTGGGGTTCGGGGCGGGGCGGGTGGCGGTAGGGAAGAATGTAAGGGTACTGTAAGGGTGGGATGGGTTGGGTTGGGGGGGATAGGAAAGTTGGGTTTGGGTTGGTTGGGATTGGGGGCGATCAGATTGGGGTTGTGTTGGTGGATGATATGGTAGAGACTGGGACATCAAGCTCGAGACTTACTGTACCTTCCGTTCGGGTTTGTGGTTTTGGGTTGTGGGCTGGGTTGGTGGAATTGGTTTGGGCGTTGCAGGGATGGGAGTTACAGCAATGTGGCCCCTCCGGCAAGGGGTAGCAATAGTTGTTCCTCCTGTTTTTGTCTTTTTTCTTTCAATGCCGGGTTTGTTGGGCCTGTGTTCTTCTCTGTTTGGCGATGGAGTGCTTGGTGGTTTCTTCAGGTTCTGTGGGATGCGTGGTCAGCTCATTTCGGAGTCGTTTAAGTTCTTTTGTGGGAAGGCGTTGCATGGCGATGTTCGGCAAAGTGGTGCCAAGGCCTGAAAATGACCAACTCACCAGGGTAGACCATCGGTATTGGTATTTTTTGTTTTGACGGCCCAACTTTCTACCCTCAAGAGATCGAGGTCGATGAAATCTTCTCCCAGATCAGCCCCCAGTACAACACTATCGAGATCGACGCGCGCAGCTCAGAGGCTGAGGGCTAGCGGCTGAACCCCCCTCTAGCATGGCTGGACATAACCCCCGTGACCAGGCCCATTGGCATCCCCAATGGAGAAACATACCCACTTGGCAATGCCGGACAAAGGGCTTTAAAGATGAGTGCTGCTCTATTTGGGATTGCGACACTTGTCCACGTCACAATTGTTGGCAGGACACCTTGTTTACATTTTGCGACCTTTGCAAGAATTGGACACCTTGCAAACGTGAAGCAAGATGCAATACAGGATACTCTGCCCTCATTCACCCGGCAGCCGGAAATCGCAGCCTGCTGTCAGATGCACCTGACGCTGGTTCCATCTTTTTTGTGCCTTTGTGCCGATCGGCTGGGAACCTCAGGACTTCATCACCTTTGTGAGACGCTACGCGGTACATCGGGACGAGGCGGGGGAGTTTCGTGGTCGGGTTGGTCGAACTGTTGGGGACAGGCTACTTTTTTGGGATAAGGGTCAAGGTATAGGTTCCCGGATGCTAAACTCCACGGCTTGCCAGGGTTCCTTGAGCCTTGGAAGGGAATCTCAACCAATACAAGGACCCCTCTTTTCCCGGTGTTCTCCCCATTTGTGGATCCACCTTGCCGGGGAAGGCGCAGCCGACCTCCGGGCAGGTGAAGCTGTCAGGTCCGGTCGCGATCCCATGCACGTGACTTCTGGTTTTTGCAGGCGCTTTTGCCAAGACCTTTGGCCTTCCGGCTGTCGTAATTTGGTGACACCTTCGGGGTTGTAAAACCAAGGGAAGGGGAAAGCCGTGCCATTTCGGGGGTCCAAATCCGATAAGGTCCCAAGGGGTTGGAGGCTGAGTCCCCGTTGGCCAGGCCTACGAGGACACCTTCCGCAAATGCGACCAGGACCAGTCCGGCCAGATCGATGCGCCTCGAAAGGATTGGCTTCGCGGGCGAAGAAAATCGCCGGAGGCACCCCTGATGGGGACCTCCCTTCAAAGGAACATATTTTGTCTTGGAAGGAATGAGTCTTTGTACCGGTTGGGCTTTTTTTGGGTTCCCTCCTGACCCCCCGCGATGTCTCTTTTTTGTTCCCCCATAAATAGCAACCCCTGAGATGCAAACTGCTTTCGTTCCCCTTAAAACCGCGCCCCCAATCGTGTTCGCTTTGCTTACCCTCAAACAAAACATCCCAACAAAGCCCCCCCCCACTTGCGGTCGAGTCCCCCCAAAATTTGGCTCGCGCTCCTCCCAAAACATGCCTTGTACAAAATGCCAGTCTTTTGAATCGTCATCCGCCCAACTCGGTGGGACTGTCTTAGGGCCTGGTTTTCGCAAGTGACACCTTGGCGCCACTCGTTTCCTTTCTTGAAGCAGCTGAGTCCTCGGAGCTGGCGCAGATGCTGGAGGACCTGGAGGTGCAGCCCATGCCGGGGGGCCTCGGAAGTATGACGGGAAGAGAGGGGTTGTTGCCGCTTGGGGAGCGCTTTTTGTGACAAATTTGGGGGAAAGGGGAGATTCTGCTGACAGCACTTGGCCATGAGACTCGTCTTCTAAAAGTGTCGTTTGTGTCTGGTGGGTCTTCGAACCTGTTGCTCAACTCGCGGACGAGATTTCGCCTCCAGCTTTTTTTGAGGGTCCTTATCCAGTCAAGCTTTTTCTTTCCTGTGATTTCATTGCTTCCTGATTGCAACCCAGGTCATGTAGTGTGCATACTGCCTTTTCTTTGGAAGCTTCCCCAGTCAAATTTTGCCAGGCTCATTCCGGGCAGATGGTGGCAGTCTGATTTCTGGAAGGTAAACCGCAACTTCACTAGGCCCAGGACACGGTTTACGAGTGCTTCATAATTTCAGGTAAGTGAATCAAGGCTTAGATGATTCCAACCCATTTTCTGTCAGCATATGCACAAGGCTGTGTTGGATTCTTAATTGGGCAAGCAAGGGGGATTATGAGTGGGCAGAGTTTGGGATCCTTTCCCTTCGTGATAGTGCACCGGGGTCTCCTATCACCAGTCCCCAGGCCCCACGTTTTGGAGGAGGCACGGTGGGGGGGGAAGGGTCGGAGTGGCTGCTCAGTTGTCTGTCGAGAATGTTTGACAGGGGCATCTTGTGCATGGCGTCGTTCTTTGTCTGCACTTTTTCCATTTGATAATTCGGTGACTGGGCGCCTTGTCCTTGAAAGCGACGCATGCATTTCGACTATGGCCCTGGGTTGAGGGAATAAGACGGGATGGCTCTATTTCTTTGGCCGTTTTTCAGGCATGAGTGAATGAGGCCCTACTTCTGACTTGGAGGCTTTCGAATCTACATGCCGCTGTCCCTTTTGCTATACTCATATATATATATATGTGAGATATATACATATATAGATATAATAATAATAATAATAATAATAATAATAATAATAATAATAATAATAATGATAATAATAATAGTAATAATAATGATAATAATGATAATAATAATAATAATAATAATAATAATAATAATAATAATAATAATAATAATAATAATAATAATAATAATAATAATAATAATAATAATAATAATAATAATAAGAATCATAATAATAATAATAATAAATTAATAATAATAATAATAAATTAATAATAATAATAATAATAATAATAATAATAATAATAATAATAATAATAATAATAATAATAATAATAATAATAATAATAATAATAATAATATTAATAATAATAATAATAACAATAATAATAATAATAGTAATAATAATAATAATAACAATAATAATAATAGTAGTAATAATAATAATAATGATAATAATAATAATAATAATAATTATAATAATAATAATAATAATAATAATAATAATAATAATAATAATAATAATAATAATAATAATAATAATAATAATAATAAATAATAATAATCATAATCATAATAATCATAATAATCATAATAATCATAATAATCATAATAATAATGATAATAATAATAATGATAATAATAATAATGATAATACTAACAATATAATAATATATATATATATGTATGTACTCCCTCGGAGCTGACATGGTTTCCTCTAAAACACAACGTATGTTCTGGGTTCGTTCAATCTGAAGGAATGTGAGGCGATTGTCTCCGTGTTCGGCAATCGCAGGGCTCGCGTTGGCAATGTTCTGCCCAGCGCTCGCTCTGCGCAAGCGGCTAGGTCATCGAAGAAGTGGACAAGGCTCCGCGCATTGGCCGTTTGGAGTTGACATCCCGAGATCGGATTGCTGGTTTCAGGCAACCTTTTCTTAGTGGTTTGGAGCGGCGGCTTGGATTTGAACCCTTGGTTGTTGAAGAGGGCGAACGGGAAACCACCCCGAACCTCCAGCCACCAATTGCAAACCAGCAGTTAGCGGGAAGCTGATGGCTGTTCACTTCTGAGACAAGTAGCATTACACCCCAAGACTACGCCATTATTCTGGATTGCTTTGACCTATGTTAGAGTCTTTTTTTAGCTCTCGACGACAAACCTGTCGCCGTGTTGAAAGTGCTCTGTTTGCGGTGCCTGATTAGCATTGCAAACAGTCGTGACGGCTCGGCTTGCAGAGGTGTCGTGTGCGGTTAAACAAGCAGCCCCCAGGGGTAGCTGGAGCTTAGCAGAGAAGACATCCTTGAGAGCGATCAAGGCTTCAAATCCTGGACAGTGTCCCGTACAAGTTTTTCCGCGAAGGACTGTGGTGGCACCTTGGACTTGGATGAGTTCAAAGAGGCGGGCGCTTTCGGTTTAAAGTTCCTGTGCAGCTTGCCTTGACAACCAGGTGGGCGTGTTTTGTTTTGAGATCCTTTCGGGGTGCCCCCCCTTCGGGAATCCTGGGCAACAGGTGATCCTTTCAATTACCCTTGAAGCGTTCTTGCCAGTGGCGTACTTAGTGACCAAGATGGGGCCCGTGTCCAAACCACCTGTTCGCCTATTGCCGGGTGCAGCGGCGTCTTGGCGGCTTCTTCTTCAATCTCCTGGGACTTGGTTTTGCAGTGAAGAGAAACCAAAAGGAAAGCGTTGCTACTTTGGTGGTGCCCATGGTTCCACTATGAGACAGCCCCACAAGCCCAAAACCAAAACCCCTGAACTTCGAGCTGGCGCGCCGCGCGCGAGTTGCTGGACCTGCTGCTGCTGCGGGAGGGTTTCACCCGCCACGAGTTCGAGGCCGTGAGCCGCGACGAGTGAGGGCACCCCCAAAAGGTGGTCTTCCTCTTGGTTTCCCTTTCAGACCAATCAAAAGGGGCTCCCCCAAAGAAGGCATCTTTTTTTTGGTTTGGCCCAAAAGCTGGTTTTCTTCCTTTTTTTTTCTTTCCCTTGGAGAAATCCTCCAGAGGCTCCAGCAATAGGTGAGACATTTCCTGGTGGGAGCGCAGCCTGCTGATTCTGTCCAAGTGAGTTTTGATGTTCGTGATCAACCTGGGTGGTAGACCTTTCGCTTGGGTTATCCCAAGGTGGGTCATCCCCACGTGGCTAGGGCTTCACCGAGATCTTCGAGCGCTACGACCGCACCTGCAGGGGCTGGGTGGAGAGCAAGGCGCCTGCGAAGCGAAGACAAGGGTGCGTATGCGTGTGCGTGTCAAAATGTATAGCTGTCAAAGTAGGGGTATCCAAAAAGGGTGGTTTTGCTTTTGTTTCCCTTAAACAAGCCCACAAAAGGGGACCCTCAAAAATCCGCACACCCAAATCGCTATGCATTTTGACGGGGCACCACCTTACAAGTAGTTTGTTGACATGCATCCCCACCAAAATGATGCGCACCAAGGAGTCCCCCACGAAGATTCACACCAAACTTGAAAATAGGTGGTTTGCTTTTGGTTTTTCTGTCAAACCACCCATAGCATAAACCCAGAAGCTTATGCGAGGGACGGGGGACCTGGGTCAATGTTTGGCGACATTTTACACCTTTGCCTCTGACTAAAACTGATGGGAATAGAACATATGCAAATCCTAGGTTGGGGTTGAGCGTTGACCACGGGAAGTTAAAGGCGGGACATTCCAGGCAAAATGGGGCCGGGGAGAAGTTGCTCTTTGTAAATGGGGGATTCGCTGTTTGTATGGATGGGGATTTGGCTGTTTCTGTGGATGTTTGTGATCTGTTCGTTGGCTAATGGGTACTACCCTTAAGAATGTTCGACGGACAAGAGTCCCCCATGTAAATGATTTGTCGTCTCAGAATGGGCCAGAACCCACAACATTGGTGGCTTTATTTTTTCCTTTGCAGCAATCCCAACAAGGGCACTCTCCACAACCAGTCTAGTGGCTTAATGACGGCCGTAGAAGCCGCACATAGTTATAATATGTACATGTTTATGATAAAACCGTTTATGCTTAAGATTTTACACAGCAAATTCCTGGGGTTTGCCCTGGTCCGCAACGCCCCCAGCCCTCGCCGCCTCGCGCGGCGCAGCCGCGGCTACACATTTGTTGGTCTGCAAACCCTAAACCCTAAAGCCCTAACGCCGCAAATCCTAAAGTTTAACCCTAAAACCATAAAAGCCTAAACCTTACCCCCAAAACCAGAAACCCCGAACCCTAATCCCTAAACCTTAACCCGAAAACAAAAAGCCCTGCAACATAGCGCACCAATGGTCACAGATGTATATAAGAAAGAAGATACATGTCAAGACGCTTCAACGTCTGGGCAAGCCCGGGCGTTGCGCGCATGAATGCATATACATATATAGTATATATATATATATGTTATGTAACAAGTACTTAGAGGCAAGCTTGTAAGGGTGAATGGGGGGGGGCCACCCCTAACCTCCAGCCACTTCAAGGCAGAGGGAAGCTGATGGCTGTTCACTGAGCCAGCTCACTCCAGAGGTAGTTGGAGCTTAGCAGAGCGGCCATCCTTGAGGGCGATCAAGGCTTCAAATCCTACAAACACTACCCCAAACCACCGAGCTCCGGGCCTGAATGTCAATCCCTGATAGATACTCCATGCTCCTGGTAGAAAGGAATCCCCCTACTTAAGAAAGCTGATCAGAGGAAGCTGACAATGTGATATTTGCTTCAAACACATGGAAGAAAGCACATCGCCAGGATGTGCTCAAGGCGAATTAGCCTGAGGCCTCACTAACCCAGGCACCCGGAGCAACTCTTTGGTTCAGATATTTGTGCTGCAAACACACAAAAGTGGAACCACGACCAACACATACCAAAAAGCAAAACGGGAACAACCAACGACGAAGCGACGAAGCGACGAAGCCACCCGCGCGTGCTGCGGCGTCCGGCGCCTCCTGCGCCAGGAGGTGCCGGCGATGCTGAACTGGCTGGGCTTCATGTGGCCCCCGGAGCGCGCCGTCGCCACGGCTGCGCAGGCCGGGCGATGTCTCGAGAAAGCCAGGTGTGAGGCGAGCGGTTGGTGTGGAGGTATGTGGGGATTTGTGGTATTCTATTGGGTTTGAAGGAAACCAAAAGGACACCTGGAGACGGAGCCTTTGGAGGCTGGACATTGGAGCCCGCCTTTGGAGGAGGGAGTATATGTAGTAATCAGGTTTTCTTTCACACTTGCGGATGTCAGACAACAGTTGTCGATGGAGCCCCCTTGAAGGGTTTCTAATAGAGAAAGCAATGCAAACTCGCTTTTGAACTAGCCAATGTGAAAACAAGCGCGTTGTTCTTTTGGCTTCCTTCTAAAGCAAAGTGAAAAAGGTACCCTCAAAGGAACTCACCCAATCGGCCGAACTCTGTGAATGTTTCCACTACCCCCAAACCATTACCCCCACGGGACACCCGGATATATAGCCTTTGGATGTGTCAGTGGAAACCATTTTAGACCAACACCGACCAGAGGCAAGGGCTTGGGCTAAGTTCATGCAGAGTTTCCGAGAGCTGATTTCTCAGCTAGGACCAGGGCGTGGATGAGAAGAACTAGTGGGTCGGGGCTCCCTCCTTGCTTCCTTTGTTGGTATAACTTTTTGGGGCCAATTCGTGTCAGTGGAGAAGGGGACATAGAGGGAACTTCTGGAAGTTTGACTTGGAACCCCAAGAATGTCCACATGCTTGAGGTGTAGGGGTTGAAATACAGAACCCCAAAATCCCTTTCTAGCGGAAACGTTTCTGAGAAGAGCCAGCTACCCTTTTCAATCGTGGAAGCTGACAGGACTCTCTTGGAAGCTTACTTTCCATTTGAGCCACCCGCTTGTTTCTACTTCCATTATCGTTTGAGGCCCTCCCCAAGTCATCGGTTTGGGTGGACATCAGCAGAAGGGACTCCTAACACCATCTTGGATGACCAACCGAGTGAGTGCTACTTGCAGGAGTGCCAAGCAAGTTGCGTGCTCAGTAAGGAGCTTTCCGTGGCCACCACGTATGCGGCTCAACCCCTTTGCGGCAACGCAATTCAGTTGCAGACCCGGTAGTTAGCAGCATGTTGGGTCCATGGAACTCACTTCACATTCTGATTCAGAGCCTTGGCAAGGGGAGCCATCGCAGCCCTTTGATCCATAACCTCTCCATGGCCCCTGTCTCTTCCGACCCCGCCCTGCCAAGCCGCCGAGCCGAGAGGTGGACCAATCCGGTCGTTTGGATGCACACGGCTTCATCCTTTGCATGCGGAAGGTGAGAGAAACTGAGCTGGAGGCCGGCCCAAAGGCAATAAGGGGTCTCGACGGGAAACTCAGGAAAGTGTGCGTAGCCCGATTTGCAGATGTTTAGGAATGTCTTCTTCGGCTGAAGTGGCTGACCCCTTGCTTTTGGGATTGGTTGAAAGGCAAGGTCAAGGAAGTCGCTCTTGAGGGTCTCTCCATTCTAATCCTGCACTTTCTTGAGCGATGGCCATCGACCTCAGAAGGACCTTTTGTGACCGTTTAAACCATAATGAAGGACAGGATCCAATATTGGGATGCGTCAAGTTTGAACAACTTTCATTTGACGGGTTAATCGAAAAAAGTTACGTTTCTGGGACCTTCACAGCGAAAACAACATGAAGCAGGCTTTGACTGTTGACCTACTAGCACAAAAAGGAGCAAAACAAGCACAAGCATGTGCGAGCTGTCCAAGCCCGTCATTGGTGGCGCTCGGTGGTCAAGCGCCACTTTTAGGGTTGAGTATTTTGTTTCAAGTCCTGAGAGGATCTGCACATTACACGCGATGCACAGAACTATCTCCGAGTTCTAAGAAGGTCTGCTGGATGGGACTTAGCCAAACGGTTGCTCGCTCATTTTACCAGGGTTTCTGAGTGTGAACTGAGGGTTTCTCAATGTGGCTGACCACGGAGCCAACTACTTAGCTTTTCCCGGACCTGGGGGGCCGATTGGCACTTATGAGTTTCGCTTCCCGGCAAGAGTGTGTGTGTGTGTGTGTGTGTGTGTGTGTGTGTGTGTGTGTGTGTGTGTGTGTGTGTGTTTGTGTTTGTGTTTGTGTTTGTGTTTGTGTTTGTGTTTGTGTTTGTGTGTGTGTGTGGGGTGGTTGAGTGGGTGGGTGGGACACCCTTTTAGTTGCTTGGTGTCAAGGGAAGGCAAAAGAAAACCAATCATGTTGACGGCGACGTGTTGGACAGGCCGTGAAAAGCCACACTCACCCTGTGGAACAGGCATTCACAAATATCCCAGTTTTTGCTCGTGTTTGATTGGGGAGGTGTCCACGCCATGAATAAGGATAACATGCTGTACGTAGACTCCCTGAATGTTGCGGGAAGGGAACAAGGATGTCGACCCCGGATAAGCCAATCTAGTGGATGAATGGGGGGTTGTTTTGCCCAAAAGTGAAGGTTCCCTTTTAAGAGGAACTCCCAAGAGAAAACAAGAGGGCTACTGGCTTCCCTTCATGAAAGGGGATGGGACCATTGCCGATGGACTATATTTGAAAGATTAGATTCCGACCCTCGCTCAGATGGTTCAGCGCATGAAGAAGAAGCACGACACAGACTGGTCCGGGGGCATCAACATGAGAGAGGCCGGGGTTGAAGAGCTTAACCAAACCGCTGAAAAACCCTTGCGGCCAAGAGATAGCTGGGCAGCGGCCAAGAATCCCTTCGACACTTGACAAGTTTTGAAGGGCCATACCGCATGGAAAGAATCAGTTTCGCACCAGGCAGGTGGATAATCCCAGGGCGTCCATCCGCTCTTTTTGGGTTTGGACTCCAGCACCCTGTATGTGTGCCACGGTCAAAACACTGCACATTGTGCGCATGTTGCTCCAAAGGGAAGAACCATAAAATCCAGCTGCGCTGTGTGTCTTCGAGCTCGAAGAGCGAGGCGAGGGTATACCACTGACGTGTTTTGTTGCACCCCAAGCTCCTCCTCAGCATTGCCTGCATCACCTGCACGCAGGCCGGCCCAAACACTTGGACCCCAAAACATCCCCGGCCTCTGGTTTTGCGATGGGCTTCTGATGCCACGTTGCCCGACCTTCAAAAAACACGGTAAATACCAGCATCCCCGCCAACATCCTCCGCATCCTCGCAAACTCCGCCAGCATCATCGGCACTCCCTGCATCACCAGCATCTGGGCGTTCCAGCATCCCTTACATCCCTACATCCCCTGCATCGCTGAAAGAGAGTAGGTTTTGGCGGAGTGGATTTGCTCGCGTAAGCGCGGCCGCCGCCGCTGTGCGGAAAGCATCGCACATACCGTGTTTTTCAGCATTCTTCCACCGGTTTTTGTGGGGCTGGGACGGGCTGCCGGGGATGCATTTTGTTGTCTGATTGGCTTTCGGTGTGAGACACGTGCGTGCGGCGCGCGCGCGCGCCGCACGCAGGCAGGCACACACGCGCTCAAGCTAGGGTGGGTGAGTGCATGCTCCGTGTCAGGGGGGTTGGGCAAGCAACCTTGCAGCCTTTTGCGCGTGTGGGTTCGCAGCGAGCGCGTGCTTGGGTGGTCCGGAGGCCGGGCTCTGAAACAAGGTCCCGCCTAAACAGAGTTCTTCTTAGTGCTCCCCATCTCACCTGTCCGACCGGCCAGCGCAGCTGGTGATGGCGAAGCCCTAGGATTGATGGACTTCCCTCTGCTTCCCTTTGAAACTATCCAAAAGGGCTTTTCAGGGGACTTTAAAGGAGACAGACCCGGTGTTCTGTGGCTTTCTGGCACTGAATGGCCATGCCGGTTTGGCTTCCGCAAAAATCTTGGCCATGAAGCTTCAGAGAACAGGGAGTGAGTTGAGGTTGTCCTTGTTCTATGAAAAACAGAACGGAAAGCATAGGAAAGCTCCGGCGATTCCTTGTGTCCACTTGTGCCCTCTCCTTCCATCGCCAGCTTGTGCCGCTGCTGCGGGAGATCGGATATGCGCGAGGGCCCAGCTGCCGCGGCTGTTCTTTTTGTTTTGCTTCTTTAGACTTTTTCTAAACGTAGGTTTGATTGGGGGTGAGCAAAGCCAGAGGATGTTTCGCTGTGGCACTTGGAGACGCAATGCTACGCTATGGTACATTGAGGCCAGTACCAGTGCCAAATCGAATTCGGCCCTGGGGCGCTCCAAATTGACACCAGTTTCGATTTGAAGAGAGCCCGAACGGGGACACCCATTGTACTGAGACGAGAATCATGCGCAAGGCTCAAGTCAGGTACTCCGAGTACTCACAAAAAAGGAGCATGGGTGAGGTCGCAAACCACATCCCTTTGTGAGGATGCCTATGTTGCCCGGATTCCAGAAAACATTCCTACTTGGGTGCTTGTGCATGAGGAAGCCAGAAAGAAAACGGTGCAACCGAAAATGGGCTCGTTTTTGGTTGGTCTTTGAAGGAAAAGCCAAAAAGCAAGCCCATGGGCCAAAATTTTCTGAGTCTTGACCAACACCTGGCCACTCAATGGTCACCCGGAAAGCTGTACCACACTTATTATGCACCCTTCTTGTCAAAGACTAGCCAAACCGTGGCACTGGATTTGAGCAATGCATGAAAAGTATGGTGAAAATGACACGGCCTTCCAACCAAAGTTTCTCAGATAATTGTTGCTTGCCCCAGCCACTAACGCAGGGTATTGCAAACTCTCTTGGATTGCATACGTGTGTCTGTTTCTGCCACGGTCCATATGCCTTTCGCGACATGGTCAACTGGCAGCATGATATGAAATCCGTATGACCGGGTTCGTGACCATGCGACCATCCTTCCCAAACCTAGTGCAATGATGAATACATCTGGCATGGACGCTGCCAATAAAATACACCCTTCGAATCTGATTGCGATGACTCGCCTCCAATCGCAATTGACAAAGTTGCACACGCCCTGCCAGACAAATATATATATATATATATTCTCAGCACTGCCCCTGGGTTGCTTCGGAGCCCCCTCCAAATCTTCCAAACCCCATCAGCCCAAAATCGGTCCGTCGCGCGGCCAAAATCCCTGCTCCAGTTGCCTCCAGTCCATCTGAAGCGAGCCTGAAAGTGATCGGGGTTTAGGCCAGGGAGGGGGTCAGATCCTGTCGTTCTCAAGCGCGCCCTCTGAAGCGAGCCAATCAAATTCTCCTTTGCCCCCCAAAAAACCGGCAAACTTCCCTTCTGGAAACCAGTCAAATCTCCCCCAAAGACTAGTCATATCCCCTAGAAACCGGCCACATTTCCCCTAGAAACCGGCAAATTCCCCTCAACCAGGTAAATCCCCACAAAGAAAAACCGGTTGCTAAAATTCATTCTTTCGAGAAACCGGTCAAATTCCTTGCATATTCCCTCAAGCTTCGCTTGGCCCCAGTCCACTGCCCTTCTGTGGCTCTCTGACGCGGCTCTCGTTCTATCTAGCCCTTGAAACCATGTGGAAACGCGCGAACATGCGCCCACCCTCTATCTACCAGCTCGTGCATTTCGGTGCCAACTCACTCATTCAAACAAGCACAACACTTCAAGGCAAACCAAACCATGATACCTCAAAACCAGCCAAAAGCATTCTGGCCAAGGCGGGCAACGCGACTCGTTTACATGAATAGAACCCAGGCACCAATAAGGAGGACTCAACGGAAAACAGTATATTTTGACAGGTCGGGATACGAATGGATCAGGGATATATTGAATCAATATGATTTGAATCGACCCCTTCCAACACGAACTCAGAAGGGGGTCGATTTCTAATTTTAATAGAGGGGCCAATTTCAGGTAGAGGCACTTCTCAAGGAACATTTTGGGCGCTTGGGCGCGAATTGTCCTTGTTGAGCTGCAGATGTGCAGCATATCCACGCACTGGGCACAGCGCCCGCAACACAGCGCCCTTGCCTATTGATTACAGGGGGGAATCCCGCACCAGGGGTACCGTTTTTGGAAATGCACAAGAGAGGGTTGGAAGCCTACCATCATCTTGCAAAAAACCCTGCTGTCCACTTCCATGATTGGGTTTCGAGGCTAAACCTTACCCCTTGCTTGCCATTTAGCCCAAAGGAGATTCCTTCAAAAGCACCAAAATCATGGTTTTTGGGGTCGGCATCGTCTAAGGAAGTATGGGACATCTCCGCCATCTTTGAGGCGTATGCTTTGCCGTGGACGAACCGGGCCAGGGGGTCATTACGTCGAAGAGGGGGGGTTCCGTACTGTGGACGCTGAACGGATCTATTTTACAACCACCACCTTCAGGGTCGAGTTTGAATTTGCAAAATAGTCTCCAAGCGTCCATGGCACGGGGGATTCCTGTGTTTTTTCCTTCAAGCTTCAACCCAACAAACTCAAGCCGCACTGATTCAGGTTAGCCATCTTTTTAAGACTAGAGAGTGAGACCGCCCTGTGGATGGTCTCAGGGCCGCATATGTTTTGTTTATGGGGTGAGGCTATCATTCGCGCGGCCCGAACTTCTTCTGTAGAGAGTTTGTTGTCATTCTTAGTCACAGCTGTTGCAGCAGCCGCTTTCTCGGACTCACCGTTTCATTTTTGTTTAAACAACTAAAACGAGACAACTCGTTTTTCCCCTTTCTTTAGGCCCGAGCTGTTTTTTGCCCCTGGGGTTTTGGTCCACGCCCCCGTCATTCTTGGTCGATCGGTCTTTCGCATGAGGCGGCCGAGGAGGCAGGGGTGGGGGTTTCGGAGCCGGGGAGCCCCAGCGGCGTTGGAGCGTGTTCAGGAGCTGAGTCGCGACCTTTAACAACGACCTCCAAAAGCACGTCCAACCAAAATCCGACCTCGAAATCGTTGGCATCCTTTTTCTTTTTTGAAAACAAGTCCAGAATGGTTGGTTTTCCTTTCAGTGTTCATGTTCATGTCAAGCAACTCCAAGAATGTAGAGGAAATAGGTTGAGCTACATTCCGGAAATGTGTTGCGCGGCAGGTGCTCTGGAGGTTCGGCAATTCATGTTTGGCTTGTTCCAAGTCTTTGAGGTCCAAGGGAGAAGTAAAAGACAATCCGAAGAAGTGAACCCCGGACTTTGCTGCGTTTTGGAAACAAGCTTCTTCGAACAGGTGAGCCCTTTGCAGCTTTGCTGCGTCGGGACCACCCCGCCCAGCCTGGGAAAAAAGGCCACGCCGAACCTAGGAAAAACATGGTTCCTTCCACCAGCTGGGGCTGAGGATGGACCTAAGTGCCCTTTGGCGGCTGCTGCTCACTTATCGCAAGCGTGAGGCAGGAGTTTGGGGACAGCATGCACATCAGCCTCAATCAGGATTTTGGAGTGTTTTGGGTTGTTTCGGATTTGCCGCTTTGGGAGAGTTGGCTTCGGGGGTTGGAGGAGGTGGAGGTGTGGGGCTTGGGGGACTCTTTTTTAGTGTGTGTGTGCGTGAGGGGTGGGGGTGCTTCCGAGGACTCAGTCTTGTTTTTGCATTATCAGAATATTTCTCAAGATGCCGGGCCCTCATTTGTTTGGTATTTAATGTGGGTCACTGATTGATAAAGGCCCCCCCCCAAGCAACATTTTGGGACTCGATAGAGAGAACCGGCAAAACAATTTGGGTCAGATTGGCCTTTCCCAAGTTTAGCAGTGGCTTAGTATAGGTCGGTACTGGTTTAGAAATGGCTTAGAAATGGTTTAGTACTGCTTCGTGCTGCCACAATACTGGCTCAGTATTGGTTAGTGTTGGTTTAGTATAGGGCTGGCCGAAGACCAGGGCTGTCGAAGGGTTGGAACATAGCCGAATCCTTTTTTTTTGGGTTTTAACGAGCAACAGCACATTGTATTCGGTTCCTCCTTCTTCATATTGGGGGTAGATGTTTTTTTGGGACCATTTGACTAATTGGGTACCGGCGCTAAACGGACACCAAGCGGAAAACAGCCGTTTGAAAGGACCCTTATTTGAGAAACTCAAGTAAAACGTCACAACACGAAACAATCAATCGTCAGTCATTTGTGGACCTTCAAAGAATTGCGGAAATGCTTAATCGGGGGGATGCAGCACCCAAAGAGTCAGTCAGCTTTTGCAACTCACGGGCCAAAGGAGTTGCAGTCTGACAATTGACATGGATCTCCAAAAAGCACCCATCCTGTTTGGGGCAGGGACTGCTTGGAATCGATTTCAGAGCAATGGCCTGTTGGCCTGTCCAGTTTTGACCAAAATCTTGGCAGGGCTTCTGCAACGTGGATCTCGATCAAATCGACAAGGCCTTCTTGCGTCAAGACAAGGCGCCGGATCCGCTTTTGTTTTACCCTCCCATCAACATGGCAGTGCACCGGCCCCGTTTGGAAAACTACATGCCTCTTGAAGAGAGCGCCTGCACAATTCCATGCTTGCTGATGGGGTATTTGAGTTTGTCCGTCTGGCGTTGCCGGCCTCGCCCAAGTGACGCTTACGGGTTCCCTTGCTTTAGGTGGGTGACTCCTGATTCTCCCAGCACAGAAGGCAACCATAGAAGGCTTCATGTGAGCCCACCATTCCCATGGGTGTAGAAAAGGTGCCTCCTTCATTTGTGCGAAACCTGAACCAGAGTCTAAACTTGGACCAGAATCTGAACATCCTGTTCTTTTGTGTACTTTAGAGATGGGCCAAGGGAAATCACATGAGGCACACGCTGGTTTGGGCGTGAGGCATCGAGTGCTGACCGAACAATTTTCAGCTATCAGAAAGCTTTGCCGGGATTCCCGAATCCTGCTTGGTGAATCAGGTTCCGGCCTATCAACAAATAGCCATCACCAGCTCCAGAGATTTCCCTTGTGGCTTTTGGATCTATCCTTTAAGGAACCCTGCGAATCATTTCGTGCCGATTCGCGCATAGAACCCAAACCACTCTGAAGCAATCCGCAAAGGTGTAGTTGGGCCGGCTCGGAAGGCCTTGGGATGACTGTACCGAGAACAGACCTATCAGGGACCCGGTTCGGGTTGATTGGAGTGTGTGTCGATGGAGAAGCTCAACATGAGCCCGTAAAGTCTTAAACTTCTAAACATTCCTTTATGTACTAGTTCTTCAGCAAATCATTCTGCAAGCTCTTTTGCGGCTACTTGGTGTATACCCCCCAATTTATCCTGGCACCCGCGGCGTCCCAAAATTTTGGGCCCCTTCCGCCTTCCACCTCCCCGGGCCTCGATTCCGAAAACCGCTCGCCAGGACGGGCTGCAAGAGCTGCCCGCCCTGGAGGCGAGTGCCGAGCGTCCCTCGAAGTGGTGCTTTGGAGGTTTGGAGTGGGTGGGTTTGGAGGTGGGATGGGAACCGCAAGAAACCCGCTGCAAGGGCCAGGGGTCGAACTCCCCAAACCAATCCAAAGAACCAACTAAGGCCGAACCTGATGGTACTTTTAATCAGCAAAACCCCGAAACAATCGTAGGTGGACATAAAATTGCAATGTAAGCAATGGCCAAAGAGAGAACGGGGTGTGGCGAGGGGCCCCCCCTTTGCGCGGGGTTTCGGGTGGAAACCAAAAGGACATCAACTACCTGCAGTGGCTTCTTGACTGCCTGGATAAAGAACAAACAGCTCCGTGCGGAAGACTTAGAGACCATCTCGCAGGCCGCACGAAAAGCCCAATACCCCAAAGAAGGTGTTCGCAAAATCGGCTGTCCACCATGGGAAGGGGCAACACAAGTTTCTTGGGGCTCCTTTTTGGCAGGTGGAAATGTCAACGAGCCAATCTTCAAGAGAAACGGGCTGTGGAAACAACAACGGGGTTCATGCATAGACCGCAACTAGTGATTAGTTAACCTTTCATTCACTGGTTCATATGCACCACCCGCAGCAATTGATGACTTGCGCTCAGGGAATGAGGGAATCACCCCCACGAGTCATCCTCTTATAATTTCCTTTGAAGGGATCCATTGGATTCCCAAAACCCCTGTTGATTTGCTGAGAACCAGCAAGATAAAGCTGAAGCGCGCGAACCCGGCCTCAAAGCCGGCGATCTCCCGCCCAAAAATCGCCCGGAACTTCGAGGCGATGCGAGCCCTGCGGGGGCTGGGCTTCACCAGTAACTTCCTGGTCATGCAGAGCGTGCTGAACAAGGCCGGGAGCTGCTCTGATCGGCACCAAAAGGACCTTGCAATCAGGAAAGGAATCTCCTTTTGCGGGATATCCCTTTTTTGGGTTTCATGTTAATATGTAGGGACGTATGTCCTGATTTGAGCAGCACCCACAACCGATTCCCAAAAGGGCACTTGGATTCATGGAGATTATAGTATGGCCTATACAAACCTTGATAACCATCCTGGTAGAAGCAACAGTCAATGGGCTTCGGGCGACGCTCATTTGAGGCCACAAGGGAAACGCATGGAAGCCAAGGTTAGTAGTGGAGTCCCAGCCAGAACTAGGTACGGACCCCAGCCCTTTCTAATTCTCAACGTGGTTCTGGGTAGAGCCCTTTGCTACCACGTTTTGATTGTGGCTCAAATGTGGATTAGACGCCCCTCCCCCGGAATGTAAAGGTTTGTTGGGGAGGGTCAACCAAGCAGGGGGTGCCTCATTTCAAGAACCCATTTGAGCCATGGTCCAAACAACCTTTTACTTGGTTACTAGGACGATTTTTCAAGACAAGGAATGCCAGAGTTCCTATTGAGGCAACTGTGACAACCAGTTTTGACCTGGCTGACTGCTTGTAAGTTTTGGTCAAAAATTTACAATGCCAACACAGTCGCCTTTTGAAACCCGTTCTAGGGTTGCTTACTCATTCTTTTTCAATCATGGTTCTTTGCAACAGCAGCAATTTCTTTCTGGGTTTCTATTGGTTTTTCGGAAAGAACCACCACTGGCTTCAGAATGGCTGGACGTTCGCCCGAGCAAGGTCGTAGAGGGTTACACTCATTGCGAATCACCTTGATTTGCAACAGGCAAGCTTTGTCAGGCGCGAAGCACCTTTGTACTCGGCGTTTCCCAGCCATTAGACTTTCAGACTTTAGAGTTTACGGATATGTGCGACATATCCCTAAAGGTTTCACATTTCGAACCGCCAAGTCTATGGTTGCCTCACCCCGAGGGGATCACCCAAATGGGGCTGCCTATACAGATTCGGCTGCCTATACAGATTGATGTTTTCGGGGTTCCTTCCGTTTTGGGCCCTGTGCGCAGGTGGACGTAGACGACACTGGGCGGATGGATTTGCGGGGTGCCGAGCTGACCATTCACAGGGACAAAGTGGAGGTTGCTCCCACTCCCGAAGAAACAAAAGCGAGGGCTGCAACTTGGGGCGTCACTCGCATTGTTCTTCATTATTTATTGTCCATAAATACATATATATATATATACACACTTGTATACATATATATATATATATATACACATGTATAACGACATGTGTATATGCTTACCCCAAATAATTCTTTCTTAAAGTATATACAGACATTGACATTGAAATTCAAACGCATTTCAATTAAACGTTTAGTGAAATCCTATTTGGAAAGAGAATGAACACATTATTCAAATCAGCATAGCATCTATTTTGCTTTGATTTCTTCTATTGTAAAGTTGTATTCATGGAAGGAGTTCTTATTTCAATCCTATTTGAAGATAGAAAGTCTGGTGGAATTCTTCCCTTATTAACTTCTATGCATATCCTAGTTCATGCTAGTTTAACATCGCAGGTGGAATTGAGTTCCTCGTAAGATTGAAAACCCAACATAGAAATTCGAACTTCTAATTGAATGATGTCCGTATTGAATGTCCGTATTGAAACTTTCAATTCCAAGCAAGTTTGAATGAAACTCCAATTCGGTATAAGGAGGCTTGTAAGGAGCCTTGAAGGGAGCTTTTACAAGTAGCGTCATAAGGAGCTTTCAACGAAGCCCACAAGGAGCCCCACCAGCAGCTTTACAAGGAGCCCACCAGGAGCCCCGCAAGCGAGCCCAGAAAGGGGCTCCAGAAGCGGCCCCCACAAGGAAGCGCACAAGCAGCGCCCCACAACGCACGAGCCTTAAAAGAGCTTCACAAGGAGCTGTGTTTTGCCCACCCGGCCCCAGTGTTTTTTTTGTCTTTTTTATTTTCTTTTTTACCGCAGCCAAGTGCCCGATAGACATTGTCATAACTAACGAATTCATGAGAATGTATGTGTTGCTTTAGTGTTGAACAAATTAGGAAACAGGCGTAATGCCATAAACACCACGTAAAGTTATAACTTAGTTCAAATCAAAAATGGCTGAACCAACAATCTACCAAACAAGCAACAACAACCAAACAGCGCACAGAAGAGTGCTTTGGTTTTGTCAAAGGGTTTTTCAATGTTATTTGTTCAAGGTATTGGTTTGTTCTTTTGGTTTTCCCTCAGCTGATTTTTGCATTATCCTACCAACAACAATAATTTGAGTTGTTTTTGTTCCTTTCCTTCTGACACCCACCAAAACCAAACAAATGCAAGATGAAGCATTTTTGATGTTTTGGTAGGATTATGCCAAACATCCAAGAACAGGGAATAAGAGGATAAAGAAGCACATCAAGCAACTCCAAAAAACACAACTTTGGGCAACACCAAAGCTTCTCCTCTGAGTTTTCCTTTTCTGGGTGTTTGGTAGTTTTTGTTCAAACAATGCAAAAGCAAACAGTGCTTTTTTTAAGCTCCAAACAAGCAACACCATGAAACACAGTGGTTTTTGCATTTGTTCTTGGATTTGCAGGGGCCGAAATCGGGCCACCCATCAAATGCAATGCGAAGGCAAGCAGCCTATAAAAATGCAGGCTTCGGGTTCTTAGCATTTTTACGAGGAGCCTTATCCGACAATCACACAGCCTCCGTTCCAGGCTCCCCACAGTCACTTGATGGATGCAGCATCACCTTTTGGGTTCATTGAACTTTAGCTTCCGTTTGGTGGGGTGATGTTGAAGGGGAGGCATCAAAAGACAGATGCGGCACGGGCAGCACGCCCATGTCCGGCCCAATTTGTATTTCCCCTCAGAGTTGTTGCTGGACTCTTGTTTTATACTGTATATGAGTGAGCTTTTTTGGGATAAAACTTGGGGTTTTCCTTTTCGTTTTCACTTTAAACCAACCCAAAAAGGGTTCCCTCAAACACATATAGCAGGAAAGGGTACATCCTTTGGAAAGATGTTTGAAAGGCAATCATAAGGGGCCTTGTCTGCTGACCCTTTTGGTTCTGCTTCGATTTGTGTCTGGACTCAAGACCTCCGTTTCACTCTGCATTGGGCTCAAGCTTATAGCATCGAGCTCCTCTGCTGCAGAGCCTTGGTTTATAGCGTCAGGGGAGCAAAGGGAAGGTTCGGACCCTCAATCCTCAATTGCCCGGCTCCCCTTCCTATGGTTCTAAATGAGCATCTGGGCATGTGACATGTGTGCTTTTGAGGGTAGCCTTTTTGCTCTTGGTTTAGAGGGAAACCCAAAGGACAACCCACCATAGTTAGGGGTCCCCTATTTTCAGACACGCCGATATGAGTTCTTCACGCTTCCGCGTCGTTTTCCTATCGCCGGCGCAGCGATAGTCAGGGAGCTGAATGACATGAAACGCCCTAGGATTCTGTGACTCTCAGTAGATTCTATGGTGAAACCCAATACTGAGACAACTGGTCCAGGATTTTGTCCATCCACAACACTAAATGAGGATCCTCGGTACAGCCCGAGAGCGGTCGAGATTTAGGGGGGCTTAAGCTCTCAACGTCCACTGTGTTAACAGGGCTTGTATGTACCACTCCGGAGCGAAAGGGGCTGATTTTCGTTGAAATTTCTTGTCTTGATTTGCCAGGTTGCATTTTTTCTCCTGACTGAGCAATTGACCATGTTGCATGCTGCTCTTTTGTCCCGTTTTGTGTATGTACAGGATTCCAGGAATATTCGGGACATCTCATGATGAGATATTCAGGGCTCAATTTCTTTGCGGCCTTTTCGGCCGACAGGCCTCTTCATTTCTTAACGGCCTCTCTTTGCAAGCATGCAAGCAGGCCTTGAGGAGGCATTGGGGGCCACTCACGGCAACAAATTCCTCGGCTGCATCCGATCATTTATCGGACATTTTTTGTTAAGAAATTGCTTGGCATATCTCAGCCCCTTAATTTCTTATTCCATTTTTTGTTTTGTTTTTTAATGCAGTGCTTGCGCTGTAGGGTGTTTCTTTCTGAAACTTAAGAGCCACCTGGGGGTTCACAGGGCTCCCTATATTTCCCCTCTTGGTGCCTTCATCCTCTTTTGGGGCCAGGTGGCTCTGGGCGAGTTTCCTTTCAGCGGGATGTTCCACGAAGCTCGGGACCCCTGTGGCTCTAGGCTGAATGCACCGCCCGAGACCTCAGCGAGGCAGCAATGGAGGTGATATCCCCCGCGGGTGCGACTAAGCTGGAGGCCCGGAAGGGGCAAACGGCATGGGCGAAACTTGACCTCTGACATAATTCTCCCAATGTTGGGGGTGTTTGGAGGTTTTAGGGAGATGTACTGGTTTTCTGGACGGAGAAAAGGGGGGCCTCCTCCGAAGTTCGTTCACATTTCAGGGTTAGGGTAGACTAAATGTGAAACAACATCTGAACATGTGAATTGTGGTGTATACCTGGGGTTGGGCTAAGCGCGGCTTTTCTGGGACGACGCGGTCACGAAAAGGGGCTTCTCCTGCTTGCCTTTTCGTTTTCCTTCATTCAAGCCTTTTTTTTGGGGCCAGCAACCAAAGGTGCCCAAAATGGCCATGGGTTCATTTATACAGCTACCGGTTTTTCTTTGATCCTTCGTAAGCCAGCCTAAACGAGACCCTCAAAAAGGCACCCCGGCCAGCGGAGGAGTCGGAGTGCTCCGATGACACCAAGCGCGACGAGGGGCGGCAGCCGCCGATCGCCATGCTCCTGGCGCTGTGCCTAGCCAGCGCGGTGGAAGGCGATGGAAGGGAGCGGTTGAGCTGGGGGAGTATGTGAACGTGGGGGCCGGTGAGTGAGGGGGGGGGGAGCTCAGGGAGGGAGCCCAAAGAAGCCCTTATCAAGCCCTTAAGAAGGCTTTCAGTTCATATTTGGGCCCACTCCGCCAGCCTCATTATGAATGTGTTCTGCACCCTTCTTCGAACCCTGTGGACGGACTTAACACCCTCTTAGGCATCACCTAAGAAACCTGGTTTATGATGATTGTTACCGGTGCAGGATTTCGTCAGAAGAAGTGATTTGCGAACAAAAGCATGGCCTCTTAAATGTTCGATCTGTTGTGGAGATATGCCAATCCCTTCTCCTTTTTCAAGAAGAACCAGTGTTGCTTCGAACCCAGAAGAACAAATGGTCGCCTCCCTTTGGGCCAGCCACTTGCCTCTAAACGGCCTTTCCAAACCACCGAACGAAGCAAGCCGGCGCCCCCTTCTAATGGTCCTTGTTTCTCTTTCAGAAGGATCCAGCATTGTGGTTTCATGGCAGTCAAAGGCTTGGTTTGCCCTTGGTGATGCAATGCAGGGGTGGGGAATATACCGAGCCCAGTCAATGGAAGCAGGTTTCATTGGCGTAACATACCTGCATTGAAGGTCGACACGTGGAGGTGATTTTTCAGCCACTGCTTGCGGGAGTCACACCATGGAAGTGCCGCGGATTGGGATGTCGCAGGATATCAGGATATCGGGATGACATGCTCTCGAGCGGGGGGGCATTTGAGCTTTTGCAAGTTTTTGAGGATCCTCATGCGTTCCCTGCAAACACAGAGGCATCGACTCCCAGCTGGTGCCTGCGAGCCAATTCATCCTGCAGAAGCGCCACATCTTGGAGCTGACGGATGTGGCCGGGGGCCGCAGCCAGCGGGTTGCCACACGTGGATTTGGTTTCTGGGGTCATAGGAAAAGGGACCGAAACCCGGCCCTAAGTGGTAGGCAAGGGAAAAGGCGACAGGTCCCAAAAGAATGGGAAGTGTTGAGAACGGATCTTTCAGTTTGTAACCACTTTAACCCAGTTGCAAATCTAAATGGTCGTTTGAAGGGATGTACGAGCTACCGGCATGACTGCAGATGTGTAAACTCGAGGTAGATTCGAATTGTGCAGTATGGAAAAAGTTGATTTTGAGGCAAACCCACAGACACCCAGAAGCAAGGGGACTTTTCTTTCACCTGTTCGTACTCCTGAGATTTCAAGTGTGCTTCCATTTTCCCATCTTCCGGGAAGATCGTAAAAAATGATATTGGGAACCCCCCCCCCAACCCTCCCAGGCCCTTTG